ATGGTTGGATTACTTGGATCCTTGGACAGGAAATGGAACCATTTCTGAATCCTCCTGAAATTGCAATTTGTCACTTGAACTCTTTGGATAAGGTCTTTTGCTTGTTTTCCACACGGAAAGCTTTGTGTTTCAGTGTGCTTTGTGTTACATTGGTGAAAGATTTACAACTGCAATAAATATCTTTGAGTTTGTTATCAGTAGTTGGCTAGGGGTGTAACTAGCAGCCCAAAGAACAGCTGTATCTGTCTTGGAACCTTTTTTTTTTTTTTTTGCAAATTATCAAAACTTTTTCTTCCTGCCTTTTCTTTTTTTTGTGTTCCTATTATTAATCTTTAACAGGATTTATGGCTTAGAGTCACAGGAAGAAGATGTTTACAGAAGAATAGTGATAGGAGTCCAACAGCTCTCTGTAGAAATAGAATAAAATAGACTAGAAGGAAAAGTAAAGGTAATACGTAGATATGGAGGTTCAATGCCCTTAACTAGGGTAAGGAGACTTTTAACAGGACCCGCAATTGAGCGAAACTTGGCTCCATTCCTGGAAATGTCAGTGGAGAAGTCAGCAAGTTAAAAGCAAATAATCTTGAGTTTTGGAGCAGCCTGAATAGTAAATAAGCAGTGTGGTTAGGAGCTCTGTGTGCCAAGCACAATAGAAGGGGCAATGAAATAAAACATGGTTTGCTGATTGGATTGCTAAGCTGAATCAGATGTCCAAACGTTTTGCATTAAAGCCGTCAAAAAAAAAAAAAGTTTCTTTCAATATATACGAGACTAAAAAAAAAAGTCATCGGTCCACTAATGGGAGAAGATGGCAAGGGACCAGTCGCAGGGAAAAAGCAGAATTGCTGGATTCATTCTTGGCATCTGTCTTCATGCAAAAGGAAGAAAAATAGTCCAACCTACCAAAAGCCGCACCGTAGGAGACAGAATAGGAATGCAAGTCACAACAGGCAAGAAATTGGAAGAGAACACCTATTCACGCTAAATGAGTTCAAATTGCCAGGACCATCCCAGAGTGGTTCCAATATACACAAACAAAAAAAAAAAAAGAGGGGGGGGGGGGGGGAATGGATTCAGGAAACTACAGACCAATCAGTCTGACATCAATATCTGGGAAGATCCTGGAATCAGAGTTGGAAGGGACCTTGTAGGTCATTTAGTCCAACCCTCCACCCAAACAGGAAACCCTATACCCGTTATGGTGAACCTCTGGCATGCGTACCAGAGATAGTCCCAGGCAGGGGTGGGTTCTAAATTTTTTTACTACCGGTTCTGTGGGCGTGGCTTATTTTGTGGGTGTGGCTTAGAGGTCATGTGACTAGGTGGGCGTGGCTAGCTGGTCAGAGTCATTTCTGGAAGGTCCTCGCACTTACGATCAGCCCTCGCACTTACGACCCGACTCATTTGTTTGCTTTTAATACCGATCAGCTGTAGGGCGGCCCTTTGAAGCCCCGCGGCAAGAGTTTAAACAGTTTTTTTCCCTCTAGTCATCAGCTGGGACTCAGGAGGCAGCAATAGATTGGGGGTGGGACCAAATAAAAGGTAAGAATAACGTGGGTGGGGGGGGGTGGGAGGGCGGGGCGGGAGAACCGGTTCGGTGACATCATATCGTCACTGCTACCGGCTCGGCTGAACCGGACCGAACCGGGAGGAACCCACCACTGGTCCCAGGTCAGATCTCCGTGGCATTTCTTTCATGAGCTTCTGTTTCCCTGTAGAAATAGAAGCTCATGAAAGAAAAAGATCTTACCTCCTGTCTCACTGCCGGTGTTGGGATGCCCTGCCTCCCATGTCCAGCTGGTCTTTGGGTTTCTGCTGTGCATGCATGCAACCATGCCTGTGCATGCGTATTTGTGCATGTCCGCATATGTGCACATGTCCGCACTCATGTTTGTGCGTGCATGCATTTGTGCATGCACACCTTTGTTTGGGCATCCACATGTACAGTTTGGGCACTCGGTGTCTAAAGGGTTCGCCATCACTGCCCTACAGCATTTCTGACAAGTGGCTGTCCTGTCTCTTCTTGAAAGCTTCCAGTGATGAAGCTCCCACCACTTCTGAAGGCAACTTCTGTTCCACTGGTTGATTGCTCTCACTGTCAGAACATTTCTCCTTATTTCCAGGTTGAATCTCTCCTTGTTCAGTTTCCACCCACACTATTCCTTGTCTGGCCTTTAGGTGCTTTGGAAAATAGCTTGACCCCCTCCTCTCTGTGGCAGCCCCTCAAATATTGGAAGACTGCTACCAAGCAGTGCATTTGTGCTAGAGGAGTTGTCGAGGGTTACCTCTGAACATCTTGTTCAACCGAAGCTGCAATAACCCCAGTAGTGCCTTTTTAGGAAACATACACACCAGTGGCAGGTTTCAATTTTTTAAACTACTGGTCCTGTGGGTGTGGCTTGGTGGGCGTGGCATGGTGGGCGTGGCAGGGGAAGGATACTGTAAAATCTCCATTCCCTTCCCAATCCAGGGGAAGGTTACTGCAAAATCCCCATTTCCTCCCGATCAGCTGGGACTCAGGAGGCAGAGAATAGATGGCGGTGGGGGCCAGTCGGAATTTTTACTACCCGTTCTCCGAACTACTCAAAATTTCCGCTACCGGTTCTCCAGAACTGGTCAGAACCTGCTGAAACCCACCTCTGACATGCACCCCTTATATGAAAATGAAATAACTGCCTGGAGTTTGGTTACATTCTTCATGACTTTATACTCCGCTTTTTTATTTATTTATTTATTTATTTAATTTTTTTATTTGATTTATATGCCGCCCTTCTCCGAAGACTCAGGGTGGCTTACAATGTGCTCAGCAATAGCCTTCATCCTTTTGTATATTTATACAAAGTCAGCTTATTGCCCCCACAAACTGGGTCCTCATTTCACCTACCTTAGAAAGGATGGAAGGCTGAGTCAACCTTGAGCCTTGGCGAGATTCGAACCCTGCAGTAATTGCAGGCAGCTGGTCTTAATAAGCTTAATAACAGGGTGCCTTAAACCCCTGTACTACCAAGGCTCTTGTTGCAATCAGCCAAGACAAATCTAGATGCTGCAGCCTGGATAACAAGCATTCAATACTGAAGTAGCAAAATAAGATAGGACTGGAGAAATTACCTCTTGCACATTTCTGCCCCTTTTAAGGCACATTAATCCCCAGGCAGGGAACTTTATGGAACATGAAATTTCCTGCCTGGGGCTAAATAATGTGCTTTTAAGTTTTGCAGGGTAGTTGACCCAGGAGATGGGAATACATTCCCCAGCTATGGCCAAGCAGCACAAACCAGGTTGATTCCTGAAATGACTTCTGACCTCTCTTATCTCCTGCTTGTTGAAGGACCGGAAGAAGAGGGGAGATGGGAGGGATTTCAGCTGTGATCTTCTGCTTGAACCACAACTGAGTTGGAATCTTGTTTGAGTAAGATAAAACCAGATCTCCATGTGCTCTCTCCTTAGGACAAAAAAAAGCGACCCATTTCCACCCCCTTTATTAGTTTGTTCCAGATGTTGCTCTTTTCCAAAGATTAAACTAGGATCCTCTCCCCTTTAATTTTTTTTTTCTCTCTCGGTCTGGATTTTTATTTATTTATTTATTTGTTTCAATTTGTATACCGCCCTTCTCCAACAGGACTCAGGGCGGTGAACAGCCAGAATAAAAACAAAACATACAAAATTTAAAAACAGTTTAAAATAATTAAATATTTTTGGCCGCAATTTAAAACAAACCCAATTTAAAATCAATTAAATTTAACCCAAAACTGTGGGATCAAGCCAGCAAGCCTGGCTTGATCTCACAGTTTATTATTATGTATTATTATGTATTATTATGTATTATTATTATTATTAATAATATAATAATAATAATAATAATAATAAGAATAATAATAATAATAAATCTTTAGTGAGTTTCACAGCCTTTGAGGCTGGTTAATAGCTCAGCAGCTCGAGTCCTAACCAAGGACTAGGAACTGTTAAGGTATCGTTGGAGGATATAAGCTGTTCCGAGTAAGGTGGTTTTTTGTAGAGTCAAAATGTTCAAGTTCGGTAAATTTAGAATTTCTAAATAGCGGGGTAGCCCTTTGGGTATTGCTCCAAGGGCTCCAATTACAATCGGGACAACACACGATTTCTTTTTCCACAGTCGCTCAACTTCAATTTGCAAATCCCGGTACTTTGTGATTATTATTTTTTCTTCTTCTTCTTCTTCTTCTTCTTCTTCTTCTTCTTCTTCTTCTTCCTTCTCTTCTTCCTTCTTCTTCTTCTTCTTCTTTTTCCACAGTCGCTCAACTTCAATTTGCAAATCCCGGTACTTTGTGATTTTTTTCTTTCTTTCTTCTTCTTCTTCTCTTCTTCTTCTTCTTCTTCTTCTTCTTCTTCTTCTTCTTCTTCTTCTTCTTCTTCTTCTTTCTTCTTCTTCTTCTTCTTTTCTTCTTCTTCTTCTTCTTCTTCTTCTTCTTCTTCTTTTTTTCCACAGTCGCTCAACTTCAATTTGCAAATCCCGGTACTTTGTGATTTTTTTCTTTCTTCTTCTCCTTCTCCTTCTCCTTCTCCTTCTCCTTCTCCTTCTCCTCCTCCTCCTCCTCCTCCTCCTCCTCCTCCTCCTCCTCCTCCTCTCCTCTCCTTATTATTATTATTATTATTATTATTATTATTATTATTATTATTATTTCGGCGTGTGCGGAATAGTACTGAGAGAAATTTGGGCACTTTTTTCCCCCCTTTGGCTGCTCTTCAGAGAATTCCCCTTTTTCTGTTTCAAAAGCTGCGGGCCACCCCTTCCCTCCAAAAGAGGTGGGGTGGGGGGGGGGAGTGGGTGGTTTTTGGTTAAAAGGGTGGGGAGAAGGACCACCCCTGGATTCAACATACCACTCAGGCAAAGGGCCTGCCTCCAGACGATGCTGAGCCCTCTGCAAGCGGGATAATTGAAAGGGAGGGAGGGAAGGGGGCGTTGGTGAACTCTTTCTAAAATTACTTTGGGGCAGCTGGGGAGGGTTGTTGGGAAGGGGGGCGGCGGTCGAGAAATCCTTTGCCAGGCTCCCTTCTCAACCGGTCCTGGGCGGCTGGGAGCCCTTTGAAACCAGTGATTACAACCCCAAATTCAGGAGGAGGAGGAGGAGGAGGCGCCCGGCGGCAGCGCGAGAAAGCAGACGCTGAGGAGAGCAGCTTTCTGAGGGGGATTCTTTCGGATTATTTCCACGGCTTCTCTGCGCCCCGCCGCCCCCACCTCCCCAGCTCAAGGCATGGATCCACCGCCCTGGTCCCCGCTGCTCCTCGCCCTCCTGCTTCTGCTGCCCTCCGGCCGGGGACAAGGTAAATGCAAAGGGGTGGAGTGGGGGAAAGAGGGAAGCCGGGTCTCTGGATGTGCAGAGAGCTGCCCCGGGCAAGGCGCGTGGAAATCTCGGGACGGGGCGTGTGTGTGGGGGGGACCTCCAGGCATCATCCTCCAGCCCACCCACCCTCCGCAACCCGGCCAAGCCCGTTTGTGCCTTTCCCGGCTAAGGATGCCGCGCCGCTCCGTCGGGTTTGCAAAACGCCGAGCCGCCGCCTGAGGGCAGCAAAGCGAGGCGAGGTATTTTCCCTCTTGCCGCCCTCTAGCGGACGGGTGGAGTCCTGCAGGCCCGAACCCGCGTATCTCCGAAGCGGGATCTGCTGGGAAAATGGGTAATGAGGCTTGGGTGGATGAGATCACCTCTCCATTCCTCATCTAAGGCTGGAATAGGAATAGGAATAGGAATAGGAATAGGAATAGGAATAGGAATAGGATAGGAATAGGAATAGAATAGAATAGAATAGAATAGAATAGAATTATTGAATTGAATTGAATTGAATTGAATTGAATTGAATTGAATTAAATTGAATTATTTAATAGAATAGAATAGAATAGAATTGTTGAATTGAATTGAATTATTGAATTGAATTGAATTGAATTATTGAATAGAATTGAATAGAATTGAATTGAATTGAATTGAATTGAATTGAATTCTTTATTGGCCAAGTAACGCTTGGCCAAGTGTGATTGGACCCACAAGGAATTTGTCTTTGGTGCATATGCGCTCAGTGTACATGAAAAGACAAGATACCTTCGTCAAGAATTGTAAGGTACAACACTTAATGATAGTCATAGGGTACAAATAAGCAACCAGGAAACAATATAAATCGTAAGGATACAAGCAACAAAGTTATAGTCATGCAGTCATAAGTAGAAGGAGATGGGTGGTGGGAAGGATGAGAAGATTAATAGACTTAGTGAATAGTTTGACAGTGTTGAGGGAATGAGTTGTTTAGCAGAGTGATGGCACTCGGGGGATAAACTGTTTTTGTGTCTAGTTGTCTTGGGGTGCAGTTCTCTCTAGCTTTTGAGGGTAGGAGTTGAAACTATGTTTCAGGGTTCACACGTTCAAAACAATCTCCGGAGGCAAAGCAAGAGGATCTAGTCAGGTGCAGTTTTGAAGTGCCTCTGGCATTGACGTTACTGAGATCCCTCCAACATCTGGGCTACTTTGAAAATCTTCATTTTTGTAGCCAAAAGGGGCATGGGAATGGGAGGGCAAGCTTGCGCAGGGAGGGCACCAGGTTGGGGAAAAGTTCTGGAAAGCCCTCGTGTTTTGACTTGTGAGGTGAAGCATGGAGCCATTTCTTTGTTCTGAAAGCAAATTAACAGAGTTGGAAGGGACCTTGCAGGTCATCTAGTCCAACCCCCTGCCTAAGCAGGAGACCCTACATCTGCCTCTACCTAGGATCGAACTCACAACCTCCTGATTGTGAGGCAAGAGCTCCACCTCTAGGCCACCACAGAGGTGACAGGGGTCTTTCTCCCTCCCCCCTCCCACAATATGACTCACACTATTGGGACCAGAATTAAACTTTTCCCCCGTTGATTTTTGCTTGATGGAGGCAGGCTGGGCAGATTGCAAATAGTGATTACTAGGATGCTGCAACCATCATCCTGTTGCCAAGTTCCCAAATTTTGATCATGTGACTGAGGAGATGCTGCAATGGTCTTAAGTGTGAGGACTGGTCAAAAGTAACTCTCTTCAGCGCCATTGTAACTTCGAACGGGTGCTAATGGGGACTCTCTGTACATTGTAGGTAACCTGTATTTATGACAAGAATGCCTTAGTCATCGAAAGTGCTATGTGATATTTATCATGAAAATGCTGTTGCTGAACTTTAAACTTTCTTTTCTGTTTTACGTTACGATGAGATAAGGGAATGAAGGGGCAATACTTGCTTAGAAGTAACTGCTAATTTTTTATGCTTTCAAATTTCTATGGCTTCCCATCTTCCTGCGGATCTGGTTGAGATCTATGTGAAAATTGGAAAAATGTTGAAGCAGGATGGTCTGAGAGGGGCAATGAGGTGCTTTTTCTTCATAATAGTATAAGGACCTCAGTCAGTCCTTGGTAAGGCCACACTCGGAATACTGCATCCAGTTTTGACCCAACGTGATGTAGTAGTAAGAGCATTAGCCTGGCATCAGGGAGACCTGGATTCAAATTTCACTTGGCTTAGTTACTCAATGGTTGGGTTCTCTCTAAGCCTAGCCCAGGGGTGGGCAACTGTGACCCTTTTACAACCTGTGGACTTCAACTCCCAGAATTCCTGAGACAGGGACAAGCTGGCTCAGGAATTCTGGGAGTTGAAGTCCACAGGTCATAAAGGGGCTATATTTGCCCACCCCTGGCCTAGCCTACTTCACAAACTTGATGCTGGCATGTTATAAGAAAGCGTGACCCCATGTTAGGCCACCTCCAGTTTATTTCAGGAAAACAGGATACATACATGACCTGAGGGAAATGAATGGCACATGTCTTGCATAGGTCAGCATCATATGAGCAATGCAAACTATGTTCGTGCATCGTTATATTGTCTGATGCAAAGTAATGCAAGTCTGTATTGTACATCATTTACGTACAACAGAACATTTATATATGAGCAGTGGTGGGATTGAAATAATTTAACAACCGGTTCTGTGGGCGTGGCTAAGGTGGGCGTGGCCAGGTGGTTGTGTGACTGGGTGGGCATGGCCAACTCATTGTCACAGCAAGGTGGGGCAGAACCTTACTGTGAGTGACGTAGAGTTGGCCACACCCATTCAGTCACATGACCGATGCTGCAGAGACAGGGTGATTTCCTACCATCCACCACCCCACTCTGTCCTTGGGCTGACAAAATAAAAGCCCATCTAAAGAGTATTGCCTGCCTGCCGAATACTGGCAAAAGGAGGCTAGGGGAGAAAAAAGAGAAGGGCCGATGGAAACACCCCATTTTCCACGCCACGTTGGATCGGGATGGGGAGGTGGGGGGGGTGAGCAAAAAGCCTACTCGGTCCATACGTACTCACCAGCATGACAGCAATCTCTTCCAGCTCACCGATTCAGGCATTTGGAGCTTGGCCAATTTTCTTCCAGTGCTCATGCAGGGAATCCCGGGAGCAGCAGAATATTGCATGCTTTTCACTCCAAGCAGCCCGGACTGGAAAACACATGGCTGGGGTGGAAGAGCAGTCCTTCTTAACAAGTTCAAAACTGTTGCTGCAAGGCTGAGTTCCCCACACGAGAGCTGCAAGCCCAGCTTTGGCTGCAGACATGTGATCGTGAGAGCAGGCTTTTTCCAAGGCCGGTCATAGAGGGAAACAGAGATGAGTGCACCAGAGTACCGGACTTCCAGCTCTCGTGTGGGGAACCCAGACTTGCAACTCAGTTTGGAGCTTGTTAAGAAGGACTGCTCCTCCACCCCAGCCACGTGTTTTCAAGTCTGGGCTGCTTGGAGTGAAAAGCATGCTGTCAAGTCCCAATTTGGAGCTTGCCATACCTGTGGGCGGGGAAGGGGCACGAAGCTGCAACTATCAGACCTGGCGAGTCCAACGGTGAGGAAGGCTGCGGCGGTGGTCGTGGCGGGACACATCAGGACAGTGCTGGCCTGAAGCTCGTCAGCAGGCCATCCTCCTGGCCGAGTCTGGCTGCGAGTGGCACTGGCACCAGCAGGAAATGGGGTGCGTGGCTGCCGGAAGTCCCATCGCCACCGTCCTGTTCTTCGCGTTGGCCGCGCACTCCATTGCCTGCCAGTGCCAGTCATAACCAGAACCAGCCAGGAGGACGACCTGCTGATGAGCTTCAAGCCGGCACTGTCCTGACATGTCCTGCCATTCTCCTGGCCAATCACCGTCATCACCGCCCTGTTCTTTGGGTTGGCCAAAGCTGTTCGGAAGGGAGCTGCCACAGCCTGTCCTTGCTTCTGAGGCAGGAAAAGTTTGGCCAAGTTGTCTCCTTCTCGGCCTGAAACACACAGAGAGCATGCACACATCTCACAGCGCTGGGACTTTCTGTGAGGAGAAGACCCCGGCAGCATGAAGTGCATGTGCCTGTTTGCTTGAGGCCGAGAAGGAGGAGAAGACTTTGCTGAACTTTTCTGCCTCCTTCTCTTATGACACTGGCCAGGCAGGTGAGCAGCCTGGCCATGCTAGCGCAGCCGTGTAGTTCACACTCTCCCAGCCAGCCAGGCAAGGCTGGTGACGGGGACCGGGACACCAGCGCTGCAGCGGCAGCCTAGGCTGGCCCGGGAGTCGGCACTTGACCGGGGCTTAGCTACCAGTTCACAAATGTGAGCCCATGCGCCACCTCTGTGCATGCACAGGACCTTCTGTGCATGCACAGAGCGTCAAAAATAAGACGTGATGACATCCGGGCGGGTGGGCGGAGCCCTCCGCAGCCGCAGCTACCAATTCGCCCGAACCGGGTAGAACTGGCAGAATCCCACCACTGTGTATGAGCCATAAAAACAGAGTACCTATTATGATTCTCAAAGTATTGGAACCTTTTCTTAAAAAACCCAGGCTGCTTTAATGTTTGCCTGGAGGTGCTGTGCTTGTCCTTCCAAGGGAAATGCAGCTGGCACTCGAGTCAGACAATGAGGAGGCTGGAGAAGATGTGGTGCCAGAGGCGGGGATTCAGCCAGGGCCTTCAGAGCCTCCAGAAGCTCCCTTAAGTGAAGAGAATGAAGAGGAGGAGCCTCTTCTTGATGCACGGGCGCACAGAGATGCCAAAAGGCAGGAGTGTCTCCTCAGGAGGAGGTCTCCTCGAGAGTAAGGCTTGGGGCTAATTGGCCACTCCCTATTTAAGCCTATTTAAGGAGGAACGCCGACTGAAGCAATCTGTAGGGAACAACTTTAGTTCATTCTCCTTCACATCTGGATTCTCTGCAAAATTGCTTCTGGGCTTTCTACCAATCTTAGTAAGATTGTGATTACTTTATCTTTGGTTTCTTGTAGGCTGTTAAGAAAGTTTATTAACAGCCTTTGTTTGGAAAAG